GTCACTCGTCAGACATTCTTTTTCTATTTTTTTTTTTTTTGAGAGGTTCAAGTCCCAGACCCGGTGGCTTAAACTCACGCCGGGCGCATGTGCGTGCGTGCCTAAGATCCTGAGGGGAGAATGGAGGAGAAAGGATTGCGGCATGGCCATGCCCCCTGGGGGGTGATTTCTCACTTTCTGTCTCCCTGTCTCTCTCTGTCTTTCTGGTGAGCGCACGTGCCCTATAGCAAAAACCTCTCAAAAAGAAAAAAAAAATCCTCAGTCTATTATTGTGTTGCTAACAGACATTTGAGACTGGTAAATTAAAGAGAATAAAGGTTTTTTTTGACTCAAGGTTCTGAGGGCTGGAAAGTCCAAAAGCATAGGCCTACAGCATGGCTGCAGAAGCAGAGGGTGGCCGGCGTGTGCAGGGAGAGAACAAGCCTTTTGCAGCTCTCTCTCTGTTATGGCAACCAGCTCTCACGAGACCCAGCTTGTTCTCACAAGAGTAGAACTCACTGAGCCTTAATAGACATCGTAACTCTATCCAAGAAACTGTTGTGTCCATGAGGCAAGCCCCATGACCCAGTCACCTCCCACTAGGCCTCTCCACCTCTCAACACCAAATTCCAAAACATGAACGGTTTGGGAGACTGACCCATATCCAAACTGTAGACAGGGCTTCATAAGGATGTGGAAGGACGAATCACGGAACGTGCCATTGCCGGCCGTAGCAGTAACCTTAGGCAAAGCACAGCGTTACTCCAATACTACGGGATGAGGTTCTCTTGGTTAAGGAATTGGGGAAAGGGTTAATCCGACATGGTTTAGGTAAATGTCTTTCCTTTAGTCCTTTGGTGACATTTCTTTCATTTTTTCATTTTACATCTCCTGTTGGGCTTCTCCTATGACTGACTGGGTCCTGTTGTAATTACCTCTTCCTTTCTGGGGAATGGTGTTTCGGTTCATTGCTGAGGAAGCTCCATTGTAGCATCTTCCATGATCTGAAGTCCGTAACTTTAGTGCAGCATCTTCGCCAGCTGTGTCTCCATAGCCCCATCAGCTACTATCCCTAATGGTTCCCGAATGATGGTGAAAGAAAGTTGTTCGCCTCCCCCGAACACTCTGAAACCCTGCCCTGCCACGGAAGCTTCCTCTACCTATGAGGGTCTTTGGGCTTGTTTACTCTTTGTGTCTGGAAGTTCTCAGAGGATTCTATGAAGGCCCTGGATTCTTGCCAGAACTGACATCCAGGTTACATATGAACACATATGTAACAGAGTACCTGGGGTAGATTATATGCTCAATGCGTGCTTGTCGAACAAAATAATAAATATTATGATAATCATGAAGAATGAGTGCTATGTTCTGAATGTATATGTTCCTCCGAATTCGTATGTTAAAATCTTCAACTCCAAGGGACCAGCAGATGGAGTAATGGCTATGTCGCTGGACTCCCACATGATCGACCATGGTTTGAGTCCCGGACCCGGCAGCTTGAAACCCATGCTGGGTGTGTGTGCATGTGTGCCCAAAATCCCTAGAGGAGAATGGAGAAGAAGGAATTGTGGCATAGTCATCCCTCCGGGCTGTGGGGGTGACTCACTTTCTGTCTCTCTGTCTCTCCAGTGAGTGTACACGGCCTATAGCAAAAATCTCTCTCAAAAAAGAACAAAAAAATCACCTCCAAGATGGTGACATTAAGAAGTGGGCCTTTGAAAGGCGGTTTGGTCATGAGGGTGGAGCCCTTGTGGTTGGCACTGCTGCCCTATTGAAAAGGAGCCCTGGGAGCTAGCTAGCCTCTCCCATCATGTGAGGACACAGCAAGGAGGAGCCATTTATGAACCGGGAGGCTGGTCCTCCCCAGACACCAAATCTGTTGGCATCTTGATCTTGAACTTCCCAGCAACCGGCACTGTGAGAAAGACATTTCTGTTGCTTATAAGTCACTTGGTTTGTGGTATTTTGTTATAGCAGAGCACGTTACTAAAGGCAACGTCGTCTGTGGTGTACTTTCCTCAGTTCTCAGCGCCTCAGAGACCTGGGGAGAGCACTGGACAGGACAGAACAGAGTAAGACAATGAGTTACCTTTTGTAAAAGACCTGGAACATGGGACCAGCAGTTGGTGTAACGGCTATGTTGCTGAACTCCTATGTAGTTAGCTGTGGTTCAAATCCTGGACTCGGTGGCTTAAACTCACAGCAGGCACATGTGCATGCGTGCCCAAGATCCTGAGAGGAGAATGGAGGAGAAGGGATTGCAGCATGGCCATCCCCCCTGGGTGGTGATTTCTTGCTTTCTGTCTCTTTGTCTCTCTCTGTCTTTCTGGCAACTGTATGTGCCCTATAGCAAAACCCTCTCCAAAAAAAGAAAAAACCTGGAATACTATGGTTCATTTGCTACTCTTTTGTTATCTGCTTTATTCTCTGAACAAATTTTGCCCCAAAGCACTAATCCCAACTAGAGTTTGGAGATTGCTCCAAACTGTCTGCCAAACCCACTTTTCTCAGTCTTTTTAAATGGGCATATTTAATATATTTACCAGCCATGTGGGAGTCCAGCACCCTTAGACACCATGCCACCTGCTGGCCCTGGGAAAAGCATTTTTGAGAAGGTCTGGACCACTTTGTTCTTCCACAGCCTTCCAACTTGTAGGGCCATGTGCATGCACTTGTGCCCGGCCTGTTTAGGTTGGACTGGGAACCTAACCTGGGCCTCTAGTGGGGCCTCAGTCACCAAGTGACTGTCAGTGACTCTCCCACTTGTAACCACCTGGCTAGGTCTGTTCGGATTTTATAGTCAATTTTTTTTTTCATGTTTCACATCTCTTTGATCAGCTATGTCTTCAAACCCTTCTACTATTTATTTAAATACAGTCTGTGTTTGATAATTCAGGGAGCGTGTGCGTGTCTAGTTCTGTTACAAGTTGTTTTGGCTGACTCTCGCTGATGGTGCCATGTGAATCTTTGATTCATGATTTGAGCGCTTTTGCTCATATTTCTTGAAAATTACCTGTGTAGGTGGTTGTGCCTGAGTGGAAAGAGGAAAGGGATTTGCTTCTGTGGGTGTCTGGGAACATACCAACCCAGGAGCACTTGAAGTAGAGCTCCTGGCTAGAGGTTTAGGAAACCCCCGAGGTTCACACTTTGTCTGTAAGCCTGTATGAGGCCAGCATGATGATCTGAAGTCCGGAGAGACGCTCTTGGACCTACTTGATTTCATTTTCTGGAGGCTGGAGTCAGAGACAGGGTGATTTCTTATTCGCCCTCACAGGTGAGACTGTCAGGCGTCATCTGTCATGGAGTCAGAAACACAAGTCCGTGTGCTGCAATGTTACTAAAGACAACACGTCTGTGGTGTGCTTTCCTCAGTTCTCGGCGCCTCAGAGACCTGGGGAGAGCACTGGACAGGACAGTCCCTGAGTTCTGCTGCCCCTCCTCTGTGCCCGTCCCGGGGGGGAGTCAAGTCGCACCCTCAGGAGGCCACTGCTGGGGGACATTGAGAGCATAGCTCTGCTCATGGCACACGCTCCTTGTTTCTTCCGCCCAGCTCCACCAAAGGGCAGGCCCTTCTTCCCACGCCGTGACCCTGGTTTCGCTTTCACTTCCCCATCCACTTCGCAGTCCGTTGAAAATGCTTTTTGTCCATCCTCTCCAGCTCTCACTTGGAAGCTGGGTCACACCATATCTGAAAGACCACCCTCCCTGGATCTCCCCAGGCCCAGAAAACATCGTAAATGAGCAGCCTGGGGCCAGGCAGTGCTGCGGCAGTGGCACGGCTGGACCACATGGGAAGGGTCCCAGGTTTGCATCCTGGGACCTCCCTGAGAGCCCCGGGTCCGCATATGACCGTCTGTGATCTGGCTGGCCAGGGCATGATTCCGTGCTTCTGTCCAGGCCTGCCTTGCTGTGAGCTGGGACTTCTCAGTCGTTCATTTTTTTGGTCTTCCTTGTTTGTCTGTTTCTAGGTGAGCTTGTGTTGTTATATTTTTTCATGTATTTTGTACCATTCTTGACCTAACAACTGCCCCATGAGAACACTCCCTGATTGGAACACTTACACATTTTTTTTTTTTTTTTTTTTTACTACAAGGTACGTGCCCTTGCCAGAGAGACAGAAATCACCCCCCCAGGGAGGATGGCCATGCCACAGTACTTTCTCTTCCATTTTTTACTCGGGATCTTGGGCTTGCATGCGCACGTGCCTGGTGTGAGTTTTAAGCTGCTGGGTCCAGGACTTGAACCATTGTTGACTACACAGGAGTCCAGCGGTGCAACCATTACGCTATCTGCTGGAACACTTGTATTTTGAATGTTCAATTTATATTATTTATTTTATTTTATTTATCATTATTTTAATTTATTATTCATTTAATTACTGTTCATTCACTCCTAAGGGGTTGAATCCTGCCATGGGAACCCTGTTGGGAGAGGCGTCTTTGTCTCTCTCTCTATGTCGAAAGTAAATAGACGAACTTTGCACAACAAAACAAGCCAGCTGCCCCATGGCTGCTCCCTGTTTAGGCCTCCTAACCGGGATCCTCTCCAGGATTGCCTGAGGGAGCCTGGCAGCCTTCTCTTTCTCCTTCTCGTTTCCTCCTCCCCTGTACCTTGTTTCCTGCCTCCTGTGTTCCTGTTCAGGCATTGCACTCCAGGGCCCTGCTGGGTACACAGCGTCCTGGGTACACTCTCTTTGTAACCACTCTAACCCCCACCCACATTTTTTTCTTGTGCGGTCAGCTCTTAGGTCCACAGACCCGAATGTGAGCAAGGCACTGAAGAGATGGCGCGCCCCTTCTGCAGCCACAGCCCATCTGCCCAGCCCTTCCACTCCCTGCTCCTCGTATGCTGTTGTGTGCGTGTGTGTGTATGTGTGTGTGTGTGTGTTCAATCACCGTATGTCATTACAGCATGCAAATGAACTCTCCCAGCACAAGTATACGGTGTGTTAGTCCAGCTAGAAACATTATCACACGCGTTGTCATCTACAGATAAGACATTTGTTTTTTTTTAATTGTTAGTCCAAGAGACCCTGAAGCAAACCTGGAGGTGAGACCTGAGGAAAGCTGGGACCATGCTGACCGTGTGCACTACAAAGAAGCAGACTCTGTTCCCGAAAAGCCCACCACTGATGCCAGTGAGGACAACGGGGGTCCCCAAGTCTGCCGTGTATGTGGGGACAAGGCCACTGGTTATCACTTCAATGTCATGACTTGTGAAGGATGCAAGGGCTTCTTCAGGTACAGTTACCTGCTAATCGTCACCCTCCTGCCGCCTTCCACATGAGTCCCATCTAACTGGAGGCTGCCTGTTAGCCCCCGGCAATGCCCAGCTTCCCCTGCCTCCAGTTCCGTGTGGGCTGGAGGCCACCCTGAGCTAGTGTCAGGGGAGCCGTTTATCTCAGAGGGTTCCTTCAGCTTCAGTCTTCCTGCTCTTCCAGAAAATGTCCTCTTCCGTTGAGATAAGTCTATATTCCCCCATGCTCTCTTGAACAAAACAGATTTGTCAGTGAAAGAGTAAAGGATGGGGCAGCAGGTGGCATGGTGGTTGAGGTGCTGGAGTCCACACGGCCCGCCGTGGTTGGATTCCTGGACCTGGTGGCTTGCTTTCTCACTTTCCCTTGCTTTGTCTGTCTGTCTCTAGTGAATGTACATGCCCTGTGGCAAATTAAAATAATAATAATAATAATTTAATTAAATAAAATAATTATTCTTTAAAAAAAAAAGAGTAAAGGATCTTAAAACATTCAAAATACAAGTGTTCCTTTCAGTCTCATGGGGCAATGAAGTCAAAAATGGTATGTCTTCCTTTCCGATCTGCCATCTGCAGTGGGACTGTTGCCAAGATGCAGATTTTCGTAAAAACCCCTACAGGGAAGACCATCCCCTCGAGGCTGAACTGTCGGATACAACAGAAAATGTAAAAGCCAGCATCCAGGACAAGGAAGGAATTCCTTCTGATCAGTGAAGACCCATCTTTGCTGGCAGGCGGTTGGGAGATGGACATACTTTGTCTGACTACAACATGCCAAAAAGAGTCCACGCTTCATCTCGTGCTGAGACTTCGAGGTGGTGCTGAGAAAAGAAAGAAGTCTTACCCCACTCCCAAGAAGAAGAAGCATAACAGAAAGAAGGTTAGGCTGGCTGTCCTGAAATGCTACAAGGGGATGACAATGGCACAATGAGCTGCCTCCGTCGGGAGTGCCCTTCAGATGAGTGTGGTGCTGGGGTTTTCATGGCCAGCCACTTTGACAGACATTGTTGTGGAAATGTTGTCTGACTGACTGTTTCAACAAACCAGAAGACAAGAAATTGTTTATGAGTTAATAAAATAAATAAACTAAAAAAAGGTACAAAATATATGAAAAAATAATAGCAACACAAGCTCACCCAGAAATAGACAAACAAGGAAGGCCAAAAAATGAAGGACTAAAACATCCCAGCTCAGGCAAGGCAGGCCTGGACAGAAGTGCTCCTGAAGTCCAAAGATGGAAAGAGAAAGAGCTGGTCCCATAGTCTAGTGGTTAAGGGAGCCAGAGCCATGTGACCCACCGGGGGAAAAGTCCCAGCCATGGCAGCTTGTGTGTCATACATGCCGAAGACCCAATGGGATGGAGAATGGAGAAGGGACTGCAGTGTGACCATGCCCTCTGGGTGGGGGGGTTGTGCTTTCTTCTTTTTCTTTCCCTGACAAATGCACACACCCTCGAGCAGTTGTAAGGCCGCCCTCAGCCAGGACTCACACCCAGGGGAAGAGAAGCAAACCAGCGGAGAAGGGGGAGAGGGAACGTGGGGAGAGGGCTCCCAGTTTGTCCTCAGGGAGGGACAGGTGTGTGAGGAGCAGCTTGCACCTGAAGGGCCACACCTGTACGTTCTGGGCCTTCTCAAGACAGCCAACCTGCCCTGGGCTCTGCAGTGTTTCCTGGTAGCTTGACATCCGATCTGAAGTGCTGTTAGACCAGCTGTTAGACTGTGCTCCCCCACATGGTGCAGGCTGTGACAGGGAGGGCCAGCGCCACACGGTGGGCACAGTCGGCTCTTGGTCACAGAACTGAGCCATCAGGGACACGTGCTGCCTCCCCTAACAAGACGTCTCAAGGAAGCGAAGCTCATGAGTCCTGGCAGCTCCGCTCTTTTCTCTGCCGCTGTCCTGTCCGAGAGCTCTGGCCAGCCTAGCTCCGGTCCCAGGTGGTGACCCTGATGTTCAGCCAAAGAACAGAAAGGCCCATCTCATCCTCTCTCCGAGAGCAAGGAAGATGCCCTCCTGTCACGTGGGCTCCACGGGGACCCAGCCTGCTCCTGAGCTGGTCACTGGCCTGGAACTCCAGAGCTGGGCACACGCCTATGGCACACGCCTATGGCCCATCTGAACCAGATCTGGCTTCTGCCTGCACCGAAGAGGCGCCGGGGGCGTCTGTCCAAGCAGCCATCTGTGCAGACTGCCCCGACGTGGGGTACTCTGTCCTTCCCTCCCATTCTGGTGTTACCCTGAGGCTCCCAGCGGAGGCAGCACCTCGTAGCAAATTCCTGGATCAGATGGATGTGGATTCAGATCTCACCTTGTACCTGGGCACAGGGCAATCTGTCTTTTCAAAGCCTCGGTCTCCTCACCTGTGCCAGGCAGGTGAGACAATGAATGTTATAGTTTTTGTTTGTTTTTAAATTTTTCTAGAGAGCCAGGGAGAAAGCACTGCCCCCCCCCACACCTGGGCGAATAATCACACTGCAGTCCCTGCTCCGCCATCTCTCCCTACAGTAAGAATGTTGGACACGCACACACCTGTGTTTCTCAAGGTGCAGGGTCTGGGGCTTGAAGGCTCAGTCGTGTGAGATCCTGCTTCTTTAGCCACCAGGCTGTGGGCTGACCCTCAGGGTCTTGAGACCTAGGTTTGACGAGCTCTGTGACATATCTAGCCCAGTGGCTGACACACAGCTGGCCTTTAGCGGTGGGAGCCCTTCCTCCCACCGTGGACGGCCTGTGGAGTAGCATGGCAGTCGCTTCCAGGCCAGCAGGGAAGCCATAGGTGGGCTTGCTCCTGGGAACATGTCTCTAAGGTTGGTCACTGGTCTGCGGCTCACATCCCCGGGTCACCCTCCCAGTCCAGCCCTCAGGACCCACAAGCCCTGCGGTCTCACCCAAGCTCCAGCGCCAGCTTCCCTCATCCTCCACTCTGGGTGGAACCAGAGCCAGGGCTAAGGAAGTGCTGGTTTCTTTCCATCCACTGTGGAAATGGGGGTGTGGGGTGTGGGTAAAGTCAGGGCTGCACTCATTGGGCCTTTGTGGGATACTCAGGTGTCTGGGCTGCAGGGAGGGGGCGGTTGCAGGCATCTGCCCCACTGCCTCCCTACAGGCCACATCTGTGGAAGGGCCTGTGGATGCAGGGCCGTGTGCTCCACATCTACAGAGTCCCAAACCTTTCCGCTTCCCACTCCGGGCTGGTCTGGAGAATCCACTTTCCGGAGAAAAGTGGAGAAGCCTTGTCCGGTGCGGGAGGAGAGCTTCCCCATCGGCTCCCTTTTCCTCCAGGCGCCCTGGTCTGCAGTGGGAGCCAAGGAAAGGGGGATGGTAATGCTTCTTAGACTCTGGGGCAGGTTTCCTCAGCTCCCTCTTCCAAGGAGAAATCCAGAGAGTGGCGCCTCTCCACAGCAACCCTGTAGCCACAGCTGTGAAAGAGCTGAAGGGACTCCGAAAACAACAGGGTGTGCGGAGCTGTGACCGCTCCTGAGGGATATTGCAGAAAGGGCTCCCGGGCTCTCCTCTAGCCAAGTCTTGGACCCCCTAGGCAGGAGTCCCGGCCCACATTTTCCCTATAAAACCTGACCCTACTTGGGGAGCGATGGCAGCCCACAGAGGGTGCCACTGGTGTCCTCGGCCGCCCCCTTCTGGGAGGGGGTTGGAGGAGGAGGTTAGCGGTGGAGGCCCTGGCCCAGGAACCCTGGGGGCCCCACACAGTCTCCCCTCTGTCTTCCTCCTCCAGGAGGGCCATGAAGCGCAACGCCCGGCTGAGGTGCCCCTTCCGGAAGGGCACCTGCGAGATCACCCGGAAGACCCGGCGGCAGTGCCAGGCCTGCCGCTTGCGCAAGTGCCTGGAGAGTGGCATGAAGAAGGAGAGTGAGCCGCGGGCGTGGGCGCGAGGGGCCGGGGTTCGAGGTGTGAGAAGGCTCGTGGATGAGTGTGTGTGCGCGTGCACCCGTTTGGTGTGCATCTGAGCGCCCCAGTACGTGTGGGCTTGTGCCTGTGCCCCAGGCACTGCTGGAAGGAGCCTTGCAGCTCTTCTGTGCCCCTGCCCTGCAGGACCCATCCTGGGGGACCCGAGAGGTGGTGGGCACCTTCATTCTCTGTTCTGGGAGATGTGGTGGGCATCTCTGGTCAGGACTGTGTCCCCCTCTCTCCTGAGTGGTTCTTTTTGTCTCCTTCATAATTGTTCTCCTGGGGTTGTAACCAATGTGGGGAGGGGACCTTATTTAAGGGGAGGCCTGACATGACCCCCAACCTTCAGTGGTTCTTTCACCTGTTCCGCACCGGCATAGCCACGCTCCCAGGCCACTCTGAGATGAGAGCCCGTGGGAGAAAGGCTTCCAACGCACACTCTTCTCCATCAAACCCTGAGTGGCCAAAGCCACTGGTCACCTACCAGGAGCTACACGTGCCACTTCTTTCAGAGGACGCGCCCTCTGAGCACCGGGCAGAGGGCCTTATCCCGCAGCCCGCGGAGGGAGGCCCTCATTTAGGAGGCCCTACAGGTAGTGGTCCTCGACCTCTCCCCTCCCAGGACCGCAGAGCTCTCTCCTGCACATCTGTGTTGGCCCCGGAATCATCCACTCACCGAAAAATGACAATGTCAGGTGCTGTTCTACTTTGTTGCGAATAACAACATACTGACATTAAGAGCGTAGAGGTGTATTCAGCTCACGGTTTGGAGTTCCAAGGTCAGGGCAGCATCTGGCACAGCTGTGTCTGCACCCGCGGTGCAGGAGGGCGTGGTCTGCTTTCTGTGGGGTCTGCTCTTTCTCATTTAGAGCCTTAGTCACCTCATCCTTCCCCAAGGCCCCAGCTTCGGACACCATGAAGGTGTTAAGTGTCCTCTTTTTTTTTTTTTAGGGTATAGGGTGAATGTTAGGGGTTGGGGTTAGGGCTGGGTTTTAGGGTTAGGGTTAGGTTTTAGGTTTAGGGTTAGGGTTAGGGTGTGGGGTTAGGTTTAGGGTTAGGATTACGGTTAGGGGTTAGGGTTAGGGTTCTAAGTGTCCTCTTAATACCTTGAGAATACAGCCAAGTTCCAACACGTGGATTTGAGGGGGGGCGTTCAGACGGTAGCAGGTGCCTGCTGGGAGCACCTGTCTGTCCCAGGAGCTATGTTAGGTGCCACCTGCAGTGTCACCTTGGCAGTGAGCAGCAAGTGCTGTAGAGCCATATCATGAAAAAGAGCCTCAGGGCAGGGAGGGTGAAGGGGCTCGCTGAGGTCACGGTTAGAAAGTGGTGCAGCCGGGAGGCCATAGCCTAGTGGTTCATAGCAAGGGCCCACATAACTGCCCAGGGTTTGAATCCTGCCCAGGGAACTTGAGAAACACACGGCGGGGCGGGAGGTGGGGGGGGTGGCGGCAGCAGGTGGTGTGGTGGTTGAGGCCGCTGGACTCCCACATGGTCGACCACAGTTCAAGTCCCTGACCTAGTGGCTTGCTTTTTCACTTTCCCTCTGTCTTTCTCTCACTCTGTCTCTCTCTGGTCAAGTTAAAAATAAATAAATAAAGTTAAATAAAATAATTTTTTTTTAAAAAAGAAACACACTAGGAACGTGTGTACCCCAAAACCCAACAGAATGGAGAAGGGACTGTAGCAATGACCACTCCCTATTAGGGGGTGCTCTCCCCCCTCCCTCTCTCTCTGTCTCTCTGTCTCTCTCTGGGGAGTACATGAGCCCTCTGGCAATTAAAAAAAGTGAGACAAAAAGCGGCCAAACCTCCACTCGGCCCATCACCTACTGCCTCCGAAGCCAGCTCTCTGCCCCACCACGGGTCCTCACCAAGCTCCCTGCTGGGAGGCATGCCAGCCTCGCCTGGCCTCTGTCCTTGCCCAGGTGTCTCCCCGCAGATCTCGAGTCTGAGCAAGGACGATACTTCGTCGCCATCACTCTCCCTTTAGCCTTTTCCCTGAGAGGGTCCTGAGGGGTCCCTGGGAGCTGAGCCTGCGCTGTCCCTGCAGTGATCATGTCCGACGCGGCCGTGGAGCAGAGGCGGGCCTTGATCAAGAGGAAGAAGAGAGAAGGGGTGGGGCCCCAGCCCGCCGGCGTGCGGGGGCTGACGGAGGAGCAGCGGAGGACGATCAGTGAGCTGATGGACGCGCAGATGAAGACCTTCGACACCACCTTCTCCCACTTCAAGAATTTCCGGGTAGGAGGTTTCAGAGGGCCTCCACACCTGTGCTAGCTCGTCACCATCCCGGTCTCGTCCCAAAGGGTCCCCAAGTGTGACCCTTGGGTCAGTGGTAGGAGCCCCTCAGAGAGGGTGAGGAATGCGAATTCTCGGCCATCCCATGTCCTGAGTCAGAGCCTGCAGGGCCAGGCAAGCCCTGTGATTCCAGCACGGCCGTGGGGTTGAGCGCGGCTGCACCGTCCTCCTCCCGCGGCCTGCAGCGCCTGGGGCGGCCATGGAGGCAGGCTCGGGCTTTCTGAGGGCAGGGCCGCCGCTGTCGGGGTGAGGCCTTGGAGAACTGGTGCTTCGGGGTCCAAGAAAGCACAGTGATCACAGCCGCGCCAGCCATGGCCCTTCTCCCGTGCGCTCGCCAAGTCTCAGGGGGCCTGCCCAGGGCCGAGAGCGAGAGCGGGGTCAGCCCGGACGCAGGCCTGCTCTTTCCACCTGTAGCTCCCGACTCTTCTCGGAGTCTCCTGAGCTCCACGTCTGGGGTGCTCGGGACATAGCGCGGGGAGAGGGCCCCTTCCTTCTCCCTTCTGACCAGGGAGGGGCACATGTGACCAGCAGTTCACACACCCAGAAAGCACCACCTGAGAGACCAGAGGGAAAAAACGAGCCCTGCGCGTGGGTGTGGGTGTGACACGCGACACACTTGCACGTGGGAGTGAGCGCCTGCAGTTGTGCACCCCCTCAGGCTGCGGCCTGGCTGTGCACGTCTGTCTGGCTGTGCGGGGCCCTGTCTGTGACACACATGCTCTGTCTTATGTCCGCCTGGCTTGGGTCTCAGCTGCCGGAAATGCTGAGCAGTGGCCGCGAGGTCCCAGAGTCTCTGCAGGCTCCATCAGGGGAAGAGGCTGCCAAGTGGAACCAGATCCGGGAGGACCTGTGCTCCCTGAAGATCTCCCTGCAGCTGCGCGGGGAGGACGGCAGCATCTGGAACTACAAGCCCCCGGCCGACGGCAGAGGGAAGGAGAGCTTTTCCCTGCTGCCCCACATGGCCGACATGTCGACCTACATGTTCAAAGGCATCATCAACTTTGCCAAAGTCATCTCGTACTTCAGGTAGGACGGGCAGGGAACAGGCGTGGAGAGGAGCAGGAAATGGCCGAGAGCTTTCAAGGGTCTGGAGTCGATATCCCGAGTTTGGGGGATATTGGTGCCCAGAGACCCTGGCTTAGCTGTTGCCCAAGGCACCTGGTGGTACTGGGGAACCCAGCCCGACCTAACAGGATGGCTCCCTGGGCTTGGGGCCATGGGGCTGCAGCGAGTCTGTCTCAGCCTCCCCACCTGCTGCATGGGCTGGTAGTACCTACTCCGTGCGGCTGTCACATGGAGTAAGCATCTAAGGGACACTCTGCTCATGGGGGACACTCAGGAATTCTCTTTCCTGTTCCCCTTCGCTCCCTCACAAAGCACAGGAATCTCAGGTTGATTGTTCCAGAGCAGTGTGAGGTGGGAGGAAAGGGAAGTAAGTCCCCAGAGGGAAGGACTAGGGAGCGGAACGGACGCTGGGCCCCCAGAGTCTGCTGCCCAGAGAAGGCTGGGCCGGCCTCGGGGAGGTGGTGGCCCTGAGAGTCAGAGGGTGGGCCTCCCCTTAGCCAGGCATGGAGGCAACAGCCCTGAGGCGACTAGGGCTGGCAGGAGACCTGGGGAGCTCCTGGTGTGGGGAGCCGCAGCCCCACGGTGGGTCGTGTGCCAGGGCCAGGGATGGTGCTGGGTGTTCTGTCCTTGGTTGGCCACCTAGCCGTGCTGAGCCTGGCCAGTGGGGCGGAACCACAGGTGCAGGGAGCCCCTGCTTCCATCAGCAGGAGGACAGTAGGTTGTATTCTAGGAGCCCAGGGGTCCCTGTGGCCTGTGGGTGACATGCAGGACTTACTTAATGGAGCTGAGGGGTAACAAGCTGCACTGGGGTTCAGATTGTGGCAGATTGGGTCAAGTGGGCAGGGAGAGGGGCCGAAGGAGCTGCAGCTGCGGAAGGACTGCATTCTGGAAAGACCTGAGGGGCGGAGACGTGGCTTGGCCTGAAGGACTAGCAGGACTTACTTCAGTGAAACTAAAGGAGCGAGCATTCCAAGTGAGGAAACTGAGGCAGTAAGAAGGTGGCCAGGGGCCAGGAGCCACGGCCCCGGCTCAGTGGTCAGTGGCTGTGCGGGGAGTTGGAGGAGGTGGGGTCAGGGTGCGAGGAACCTGGTTGCCACCTCAGTGGGCAGTGGAGAGTCCTGGAGGTGGCGGGAGGAAGGAGGTGGGGACAGTGAGCTGCTGGGCTGGACTGTGATGGGCAGAGCTTGGGTGCAACCAGGATCTGCAATTGCCCTCAGGGGGAGGAGGCCAGCCCACCTCTTCCTAGTTTCTGCATTGTGAGCTTGGGTGCTGGTGCTGCCTGGGGGTGGCTTCCCTGGGAGTGGTCATCCCCACGCCCACCCCCATTTCAGGGACTTGCCCATCGAGGACCAGATCTCCCTGCTGAAGGGGGCCGCCCTCGAGCTCTGCCTGCTGAGATTCAACACTGTGTTCAATGCGGAGACCGGAACCTGGGAGTGTGGCCGGCTGTCCTACTGCCTGGAAGACCCCGCAGGTGCCTCCAGACGCCTTTGTGCCCTGGCAAGGGGGGACACAGCAGCTTTGGGAAGGAGGGAGCCATGCCAGGACATGTGGGGCCTGGGGCTGTGGGCCAGGACGGGTGGGGCATGGAAAAAGACCTCGGAGAGGGAAGGCTGGGTCTTGGGTAGCCTGGAGGAGCCGCCTCCACCCTCTGGCTTCCCTCCCCACCCCCCAGGTGGCTTCCAGCAGCTTCTCCTGGACCCTGTGCTGAAATTCCACTACATGCTGAAGAAGCTGCAGCTACACAAGGAGGAGTACGTGCTGATGCAGGCCATCTCCCTGTTCTCCCCAGGTGAGCCTGTCTGCTGCGCAGCCGGCCTGGGGACTCCGGTCAGTTTCTCTTCAACCTGGGTCCTCTGGGGGGCTCTGGCTCTGGAAGGTGGGGACTGGCTATGTCCCCTCGTGGGGCTAGTCTGAGCTTGCCCCCACGACCTCTGCCCGCTAGACCGCCCGGGTGTGGTGCAGCGCAGTGTGGTGGACCAGCTGCAGGAGCGATTTGCCATCACCCTGAAGGCCTACATCGAGTGCCATCGGCCCCAGCCCGCCCACCGGTGAGCACCGGGGAGAGCGAGGCCCTGGGAGGGGGTGGAGGTGGAGGGAGTCTGAGGGGTGAGGCGGGTTGGGGGACGGGTCCTCCCTGTGGCCTCTGCCTCTCCTTGGGCCTGTCTGGGAGAGCAGACCAGAGTCAGGGGGGCGCCTCTGGTTACCGGGGCTCTGGGGCCATGTTCTCTGACCTCCTCAGAGGGCTCCTTCCTGGTCGCCCTGAGTGACCGCCCAGTGACAGGGAAATCAGAGGAGTCCAAGGCTGTGCCCAGCTGGCGGACACGTGTTTATTCAGGGCCTTCCACATGCCCATCATCAAGGGTGGGAACAGCTGGATGTTCTGAGTCTCCTCTGGGACCTTCCAGGAACACCAGGAGTAACAGTGACAGCAAAGCTGAGGCAGGACAGTCCCGATGGCCATAAACAGGGCCGTAACAGCCACCATTCTTCGAGGAGGCCCACCCTGGTGCCGAACTTGCTTGTCATCTTACTCTTCACAGCGGGCCACCGCTGTCCTGCAGAGGAGCTGTGGCTCAGGGCGAGGGCCCAAGGCTGTGTAGCCAGCGGGGTGGCGTCGGGGTGGACCCAGCTAGGCCGAGTCACGTCCTTGGGCACGACCTACTCACTGCCCAGGGAAGACGAAAGCACACAGGAGGAAAGGCCTTCGTTTGTCGTGACCGTGCTCAGAGGAGGAAACTGCTCAGGACTTGACCAGTTCCTGTGGCCTAGGGTCTGATGCCCAGCCGAGGGATGACCCAGCCTGTGCTGATGAGCCCACGGCCAGGAGGGTTAAGGCCAGCTGGGTTTTCTGTTTGTTTTGTTTTGTTGTTTTTTTCATTTTGCTGGAGGGTTTAGGCACTCACCAGAGTGAGACAGAGAGAGGGGGAAAGCTTCTCTCACGGAGAATGGTTATGCTATAATCCCTTCTTCTCCATTTTCCCTCTTTGGGATTTTGGGCATACACACATGCACCCATTGTGTCTCTCTAGTTGCTGGGTTTGGTTCTCAAACTAGAGGTTGGCCGTGTGAGAGTCAGCCACCTTAACCACCAGGACATGGAGCTAGCTCGGCACTGGCTCTTATAGCATGAACTTAAAAATGTAAATCCTTGGGACCAGCAGATGGCATAATGGTTACATCACTGGACTCCCACGTAGTTGACTGCAGTTCGAGTCTTGGAGCCGGTGACTTAAAACACGCTGGGCATGTGTGCATGCGTGTCCAAAATCCTAGGAGGAGAATGGAGGAGAAGGGATTATGGCATGGCCATCTCCATGGGGGGAGGTAATTTATTGCTATCTCTGTCTCTCCAGAGAGCACATAAGCCCTATAGCAAAATCCCCTCAATAAAAAAAAAAAAAAAAAAGCAAACCCTTACTTGGTCTGCACCAGCTTTCTTTGTGGCTCAGGGCCCTGGGGTGTTGGGGCTGGGGGTGTCCGTGTCTTAGCCTTTCCCTCTTTAGAGCCAGAAGACTGGAAGTGCCAGCTTTTTCATCACAGGGAAACTGAGGCACGTGGTGTGTTTCAGCCAGTACACCCAACGCTAGATCCAGGAAGGGGTTCCAGCCTGCAGCCCCTAACCTCCACGACTGCCCTGCCCAGTCCTGGCCCTTGGACACGAACCAAGGCGGTGATCTCCTGTCCCCCACCCCCACCAAAACACACCTCCACCGTTGGCACCCACACTTCCTGGATTGTCCCAGGGGGCGCTCTATGTAGAAAGACTGGAGCCCCAAGGGTGGAGTGGGAGTGGAAGAGTCCCAAGTAGCCGGCAGGCTGTTGTCAGTCTGGTCCACAGGCTGAAAGAGAAGTGTGGGGTCAGCCGAGTCTCCCCTCTTGGCTGGCTGAGATGTCCTGAGGTTAAAGGTGTGTGGCCTCCGAGCGGCTGAGGGTGGGGGCTGGGCTGCACCCCACCTTCCCTCTGGCTGGCCCGCAGGTTTCTGTTCCTGAAGATCATGGCTCTCCTGACTGAGCTCCGCAGCATCAACGCCCAGCACACCCAGCAGCTGCTGCGCATCCAGGACATTCACCCGTTCGCCACCCCACTCATGCGGGAGCTGTTCAGCATCGCCGACGGCTGAGCGGCCGCCCCTGGGAGAGCCTCGATGGACAGCCAGACCCAGAGCCCTCTGAGCTGCCACTCCTGGGGCTAGACAGATCCACTGCCGAGGGCCTGGCGCCTGCTGACCTGCCTTCCCAGCGGCCACAGCTGACTATGCACCTCAGGAAGGGGTGCAGGCCCACCCAGCCCCAGTGCGATCTGTGGCGAGTGTAGCCACAGGCTTGGTGTGGAGAGTGTTCTGGCCCTTAGCTCAGGCCCCCTGGACGCCAGGCTGCTTTTCCCTGAGAAAAGTCCCTGTGGTCTCGGAATCCCACTACATCCCCGTAAATGCCCATCCCACGGACGTGTGGCAGTGGCGGAGGGGAAGGGGCAACTGGGGCTGGGCCCTCTGAGGGTCTGTGCCTACACCCACATTCTTTAGCCCCTTGAGCCTTTTCATGGCCACCTCTGATACTCCTGTCTCCCACTTCCCACTGGGTCCCGACCCCAGGCTCTTGATCTGAGCTGCTCGGAGGGTTCCGGGCCTGAGCCCATCAGCAAGCCCATTAGTAACAGTAATCTAGGAGAAGCCAGAGCCTCGCCAGATGTCAGGTACTTGTCCTGGCCCCTTTCTGGGCATGCCATTCTGTCTCTGCATCTACCCAGACACCAACGAGAGGCCACCTCTGTGGGGTGTACGCCGACTCCAATGGGGAGGCTGATCTCAAAGAGTTTAGACAATAGTTAAGAAAAGGAAAACCAAAAAAAAAAAAAGAAAAGAAAAAGGCAGAAACACAAAAAAACTCAAGGACAAGGTGAAGGGACAAATGCTGTGTGCACGGGGACCATCTGTGTGGACGCACAATGGACTGACTTCTGGAGGCACCTGGGACCCGAGTGAGGATGCCCCAGGGCGTGTGCTCATGGGAGGAAGGCCACGGACGGTGGCTGTGGGTACATGTGTTGACTTGGTGTAGGTGGGTCTGCTCTCCACCTGACTGGGGCCTGGGGTGCCCTGTGACGAGGCTCTGTTGACAGCGAGCTAAGACACAGGGAGCAGATGCACCAGCGGGCAGCGTGCCTGCCTGTGCATGTCTGCTCAGAGCTGAAAGTACGAATGTGTCTGCCTTGCTCACAGTCACCCGTGAGTAAATGTGTTTTTACATTGTCATAAATTACTCTGAACTAACTGTACGTATGCACACCTCAGGAGCAAGCTTAGCACCTCATCCTGGGTTTACCATCAAACCGAGGCAAGAAAACTCAAGTGAATTTTTGACTGGAGATGTAAACTTTTCTTGCCTTCTTTCCTGGGGAAAGAAGAAATGTGGGAGTAGGAAAACAGAAGTAGAAATACACACCCACCCACACTTTTACTACTTGCATGCATTTTACTACTTCTTACTGCCCGTTACACACCTGAAGACTTTGTTAGGGCCAGAACAAAAATGTGATCATTTAATTTGGTTTGCTCATACATGATTATTCTATATAAAGATACAAAGCATATAGTATATGCATACCATAATTAAAACTGTAGTAATGGAATTCATTTCATTTCATTTCATTTCATTTATTTATTTATTTTACTTTTTAAAAAAGGTTTTTGCCGTAGGGAGCATGCACTTGCTGGACAGAGACACAGAGAGAGAAAGTGAGAAATCACCCCCTGGGGGACCAGCAGTTAGCGTAATGGCTATGTCGCTGGACTCCCACGTAGTCAACCATGGTTCGCGTCCTGGACCTGGTGGCTTAAAACTCACGCTGGGCGCATGTGTGTGCATGCCCAAGATCCCTGAGAGGAGAATGGAGGAGAAGGGATTGCGGCGTGGCCATCCCCCCGAGGGGTGATTTCTCGCTGTCTGTCTGTCTCTGTCTGTCTGGCAAACGCACTCGCCCTATAGTGAAAACCTCTCCAAAAAAAAAAGAAAAAGAAAAGAAATCACCCCCTGGGGGATGGCACACAGGTACCTGCACCTGTAGTGATTTTCCAACCATTAGATCCAAGTCTTGAACTGAGGTTGGCCATGTAGGAGTCCAGTGCCTTAACCACCATACTACTGCTGGCCCCCTAAATTAATTTTAAATGTCTAATGTTTTGTTGCAAAGGAAGTTACAACTGAATTTTAAAGAATAATTGCTTAGCTTTAACTAATTTATTAGGAGCAAACTTTGAGAACATAGAAATCATCAATAGTAAAAATAATCAAAGCCTAGGCCAGCAGGTGGAGTGATGGTTAAGATGCTGGACTCCGAGAAGAAGCCACGGGCCTTCAGGACAAGGTTCCACATGGGTACAGTGAACTAGATTTTTAAGAGAATGAAGATTTTCTACTAATAATTCAGCCTCCAACAAACGAGCTAGCGGCAGAAGAAGCCATGGGCCTTCAGGACAAGTTTCCACATGGGTACAGTGAACTAGATTTTTAAGGGAATGAAGA